GCTCAGCATGCGAGCGAGAGAGACAGAGAGAAAGATGGAGAGAGAGAGAGAGAGAGAGAGAGAGGAGAGAGAGAGAGAGGAGAGAGAGAGAGAGAGAGAGCGAGAGAGAGAGAAAGAGGGGGAGGCAGCCAAAGAAAAAAAGATAAAGATAAAGAAACAGCCAAAGACGGAGACAAGGGGGGAGAGACAGAGAGAGAGAGGCAAAGACGGAGACGTGTCGATGCTTCAGGCGCCGCCATTCTGAAATCAAATCCTTGCCCAGCAAGAGCAGAGGTGCAGTTGTGACTGACTAGTGCCGCGCAAGTGTTTTGATGTGCTTTGTTTTCACACAACACCTCGAACGATGTCTGCACTTTTGCGCCTTGCTGGCAGCACATTGCTAGCCCAAACAGCTTGCAGAACCATCAGCACAGCTCCTAAAGTGTCTTCAACATCATCGAGACAGAGACGCAGAGATTGCCAGTGGTCCCGCTACGGTGCCTTCACGATCAAAAGCCACAAACCTGCCATTGCAGCGCAGCAGCCACGTCACTCATCGTAGCCAGTCACACCAGGATGGCATTAAAGGGGGCTGTCCCATTGTGAAGGTAGGCTCGCAGAACCTGCCACATATCTGTTGTGCTCCGCGAGACCAGGGGATCCGAACTGCCGTACTGGACACTGTTGAGGTCCCAAATGGCCACTCCAGCGAGAGACTGCTCGGTGGAAAACCCCACCTTGTCTGCCAGCGTGGTGGCGTCATCGAACCAAACCTCGTGCGTGAGCTTGCCGGAAGCATCCGCCTCATTGTACCTGAACGTCAGAGAGTCCTTGTTGCGGTCTCTGCGTACCAACGTCGGCTGTAGGCTGGCGTTACGCGACTTAAGAAGCAGGTCCGTGAATCCACGCTGGTGATCCGACACATGAAAGGGCCAGTCGTACAGGCACTTTTCCAACAGTAACCCGCGAGAGCATGGATAGTCATATCCGTACCATGCAAGCCCCAACACTAGCTTTGAACGTGGAATGCCAAAGCGAAGGAAGCCGTCTACAACATTGCGCATGCGAGCCAATGGCGTGTTTGGGGTCGCCACAGGATCCAGCGCGCCCATGTCGTGGGCCATTAGCACCACATAGTCACTGGCCTCTGCCAGAGCGTGGAAGTCGTAGAACGCATCGAACCAAGTGAAGGCGGCGAGATCGAATGCCACAGTGCAGTTGGGGCAGGAAGCCTTCACAGCTTTCGCAGTCTCTTTCGTCAGGCTGGTGAGTACGCCTCTCTCAAAGAACTTCTTCTCAATGTCGATGTTGAGGCCGTCAAGCCCGAACTGGCGGATGGTAGCTACCTTCTGCTCAATCCAAGCAGCCCGGCTGGAAGCGCCGCGGATGTGAGCCGGCTGCACCGGGGCGCTCATCGTCACTCGCACACCATGCCTGTGGGCTGTCGCGACCATCTCGGGGTCGATCGCGTCTGCGAAGCTGGAGACTGTCGTCAGAGATTTCCAATCATAGTACTGCCACTGCGAGTTGTCCACATGAAATCCGATCACGCGCCTTTCGTCTGACGCAGAAGTTGCAGTAAACAGCAAAGCTAGAGCGGCCCGCATGCGCAGATCAGAGACCAGTTGGCTTTCTTTTGAAACTATAGTCACAAAGTGGCTATGCTGTTTGCCTAGTCCTCCCTTGACAGTGGAATGCACAGGAAACACCGAACATGTAAGGGCTTGCGCTTAGAGCGTACAATGACAAGCAGCAAGCGTCCCCTACAGAATGCTATTTCAAATCCATAGGCCAAAAACAAATCTGAAACCTAAACTACGCTGCAACAGGCACGAGCTACAAGGCTACTTAATATTACTAAATCAAAAAAGAGTCCACCAGAGGAAAGCCTAGCTGGAGCGCTGCTTGCTGTTGAACACAAACTTTCCCACGGCTGGAAGCCTTACAGAAGAGAGTCTGGAACAGATGGCTGCATTGGTAGTGGTCATAAAAGTTTTGAGATGTGACAATACGTGTCGAAAACACTCACACCTTGGACACATTGAAGAACAGATGTGGCGCGGTAGCCTCCGGCGACTCCCTCTCCATAATGACCTGCTCGAATTGCTGGCCTTCTGAGGCCACATACCTGACTTCAGGCATAATTACTTGAGAGACCAGATAGACGAGCTGATGCTGAGGAGTCGTGGGTACCGAGAGCCACAACACAGCAAGGATCCTCCCGCAACAGTCTGGAGATTCAAAGTTGGGGTTCCCCACACGAAAGAACAACGAAACATCCAACCTTTACCAGGATACTCATAACCATATCACACTGCTGGTGTTTGAACTTACGCTGCTCCCGAGACTGCTCATGGCACCGAATGGATTTCCAACAAAACCCTGAAGTGTGAACACCACATACTGGAAGCTGCAGAGCTTTCCATGAGACCAGCAACAATCCTAATAGTCTGACAGGCCTCGCAAGCCGATCAATAAGCCGACGCTTCTTGGCATCGCTGGGCAAATCGACGACAACCAGACGCGGCTTGCCGTCCTGTCACAGCAGCTCTACTAACTGTAAATGCCTAAACGACCATGAAGTGTTCCACCGAATTGCTGTATGATAACCAGTACCATATCCGGGTGGAATCTGAGTATTTCGTGCAATGGTGGAGCGCAACATTCACGTGTGTTACTCGAGGATTTGTAATACCAGTCTAACTCTAGTGCAAGTTAGGGAGCAGCATGGCGTGGCGCAGAGCCTTGCTCGGCAACAGTCGCATGAATTCGCATGAAGTCGCATAAATTCCGCGTGAGGGCGTAACTTGAGTTGACGGCGGGTTCTCTGCATTCTTGCTTGAATCCTTGGCTAGCATCAGAACCTGGGAACTTGAAGATTTACCAACAAAGCATGAGAAAGCCCATGCGGACCTGCAGGCAAGGTCAGCACAACGACAACTGAAATATGGACACAAGGTGCCCTTCAACCTGAACTCAACAACAGCCAGCTGTCCATATACCCCAGCGTCGTTGGAAAATAGTCGCCCTGCAGGGAGAACTGGAGCAAGGAGGCCATGTTTGTTCTTGGACTGAATGACACTGGTAGGATGCAGGAATCGTCAGGCTCGGCCAGTGGGATTCGGGGCAAAGGATCTGCTTTAGAAGCTGAGCCTGGCTGCACAACTTCCATTTGTGCAACACGGCATTTGCGTTAGATACAGTTGGAGAAAAGGGATCCAAGCAGCTCTACAAAGCTTTTAGACACGTCATCTTGCCAGCTTCCAAACTCTTCCTGGGGCTCTGTGCGGGCTCCTAAAGCAATCTCCTAATCCAGACGCTAAAGTGCCTCATCTTCTGTTTTCTTTCACTGGTCGCCCGTGAAAGGGAAAGACTCAAAAAACATCTAAAAACACACAAATCCGCTGCAAAGTACGAATTCTGCCCGAGGCCTGTGGCTGGTGGGTCTTAGACCACTCGATCCACAGCGGAACGCCCTCAACCTCACGGTCTTGGAGCGCGTCCTGCTAACAGGTCTAGACTTCGAGCAGGCGTGCTGAACCCTTACATCCACTGCTGCGAAGAATGTGCTCGTGGCCCGACATGGGAGCAACCCCAGCATGAAACACCCATAGGAGAGGGGCACCACAAATGTCAATGACTGGAAAGTGGCGCATGAGCTGCATCGCATGCCACAATAAGCGGCCTGGGCCCGGCGGTTCCAGTGAAACTGTTAAGCAGCATTAGACATCAACAAGGCTGCAGTGGACCATTTTTCCGTCAGATGCATGTCCTATTTGCAGCGTTGGGCTTGTTGCATCAATGCTGCTACTCTGTTGTCCTTTGCCCGCTGTGCATTCTCCCGGCTGTCCATCATGACCTCAGCAAAACTCTCTTTTGCAGGCTGCGAGCTGTACCCATTTTGCTCTAAATAGTTGTAATCGTCTTGCCCAGCCTGGACAGAGTTGCACGACCTGCTATGCTGTAGATGGAGCTGTTCTCGACTACGACAAGGGGCTGCGGAATACATTATAGCACGTGAGTTTCACGGGCTGAAACTTGCAAAAAAACAGGGGTGGATGCTAGGCCGCTATGCATGGGCAAGTCAACCAGCGAAACGTCAGCCCAAAGTTGAGAGATATCAAGACATGATTGATAGGGAGAAGGACTGACAGACCTCGTGAAACTGAGCCAACTTGGTGCGCTGCGTAGCCCTTCACACGGTTATCGTCTGGGCTCCGCCTGATGACTTCATCATTCCAAGGAAGGTGGGGCAGGAGCATTGCGTAATGCGTGCCGAGAAATTTCGAAGCCCATGGTCTCTGTCACACCAGGTCGACCTCTGGATGAACCCCGAATGCCATGCACCTCGTGGCAGTTCTGACCTTTACGCTCCAAAGCTTCCAGACAACTGAGCAGTAGCCTGGGCTTGTTAAAAGCCCAAACTGAGCCGATGCCAAAATCCACAAGTTGAAGTATGATTTGGAAAGTAGACTTTGCTGGTTGAGATCCAAGCGCCTACAGCCTACAGTGTCAAGAAGAATGCTGTTCAGGTGCAATATCAGATCAAACTTCAAAAGCTGATGTTCCGCCCAAACGCCGCAGTCCTGTCAAATCTTGGATGCCGGTACAACAGCTCAGGTACTTGGCGGGATGCTCTAACGGCGTTCTAGGCGAGCAGCGAGGAGGTGTTCCCTACAGTGCTGAGCACGCAGCACGATGTCCACGGCGGTGACGACCCCGTATCTGGAGAAGAGGCTACATATCGCATCCTGGCAAGGCTTAACCTTTTTGTTTGCGTCCCATGTGCACCTGCGAAGAGCTGCACATGGGTGCTTCTGCAACAGCTGCGCTCTACAGCGCTGCCTCGTCTGCCCATGCAGTGGGGGAGTCACTTGTGGGACACCTTTGATCTACCCTTTTCTGCCTAGCCATTGCCCCCAAAAGGTTTATGCCGTCCTACATAGACGGTGGTTATCGTCCCAGAGCCATTCAGACCTGATGCACGTACGGAGGCAAACTCCCTAGAGTCGACACTCAGAGGTCCGCTGAGGCAGAGTCACTGGCAAGGGCAACAGAAATTCATACACGCCTGCAGGTAGATTTCCGCGGAACTAGACAGCATCTGCATGATTTCTCTGCGACAGTCCTACCAATTACAACATGTGTCCCATGAAAGTCCTCGTTGGTCGTGCCTGGCAGTTCTCGCCTTAGAGTTCCGAGGGCTTCACTATATTTATGGTTTGAGCATGTGCTCCGCGAAGTCAGCACGCTGGCTCTGCCTTGGGGTAAAAGATTTACACCTTGCGCGATTGCTCTGGTCACGCTGAACTCGTCTACAAAACCATGTGCCCAAGCATCATTTGCCACGATCAGGAGGTCAATGCAGTTGTATACGATACTCAAAAGAGCAGAGCTCTCTGCAGCTTGGCCAAGACATTACTGAAATTGATTGAGAATTCGAAGCTGCTTCAGCTTCCAAGTCTTGGGCTTTTGAGGTCAGGACTTTCATGCTGGCTTCACCAGGCTGGTGCTAAGGAACACTTCAAATATCTAAGCGTACTCAAACCTATGTAGGCCAGAACTTAATAAGCCCAAAGATTCTGAAAAGCTTACGCCCCGAAGCCCTTGACATCTCCAGATATTGGCTGCACCCAAAGTCCCGTCATACTACTGGCGGGGTCGCGGCAGGAAAAGCAGTGATGCCAGCTCGTCCGCTGCTGCGCTGGCACCACCAGCACCCCAGGTGCTGCCTTCACGGCTTGCAAGTTGGATTTTTGCTTAGGAAGCATTCTGGGGCTGTCAGCTCCTTCAACGGCGGCCCCACAAGCCCCATCCAACTTCTTAAATTAACATGTCGAAGAACTAATGCCCAAGGCCGGGACGCAGGGGCCGGAGGCGATCGCACGTGCAGGCAATTGAAGCATGGCGGAGGTTTGCAAGGCTGCTCGGTTGGCATCTGCATGTCCTATGGACATTGAAAGCACAACCTCAGGCAAGTCCATGGTGAACTGGAATCAACTATTCAAAACAAGAGAAAAAGCCACCACCCAAAATCCTGACTTTGCAAACCAGAAGGATTTGGGACCTCTCTCTGGCTTTGGAACCAGCAGCCAAGTGAAAGCTAGAAATCGGAAGCCCATATGGCCCATATGCACAACTGTCAGCTTGCCTTGTTCTAGAAACCCTGCTGACCTCGCAAGAAGTACGTTTGTCACGCCTGCGCTCGCCGTGGCACTGGAGGATACGGCGGTCCCCAAGCCTGAACCGTGTTTGCGACTTTGCCACGCGGGATCCCACGATCGATCACATTGCCCCTGAAAAGGCGTTATGGACTCACGCTAAACAGAAGGGAGCTCCAATTTCTGGGATGCTTCTGATGTAGAAAGTTGGAGTGGATGGGAGCTGGGGCTGGCACGCGAAGCAAGACTACAGGCAGGTCTTGCAACATCGTAATCTCGTAATCCCTTGTCGCAAAGGAACATGAAAGGTCTCAAAGATCAAGAGATTGGGAACGGGCATGGGTGTGTGGTTAGCATCAAAAAGCTTACGATGTTGCAGGTTGCCGCATGTCCTTTTGACAGTGTCAGCCCCGATGCTCTAAAACTCAGGCCCCTACGGACCCTGCGGCAAATGCTACAGTCCAATCTGCTAAGCCATGACGAACTTGTGATCCGAGCTCAGTTTTTGTGCTTTATTTAGTTCAAGCGCGAAGCTTTCCGTGGAATTGAGGGGTGAAGGGTGGAGCCTGGCGCCAAGCCGGCATAGTTGGGCACAGCGCTAGGCGGGATAATGACCTTGCAGAACGCAGTATGGTTATGCATGGTTCCTCCAAACTAAGCTGGACACATCTGTGCTCGCTGATGCACTATCATGCCAGACTTCTATTGTTGCAGCAGCACAGCATGCCTCTAAATTCAGTGTTGCAATTGTGTAGAGAGTACTCAAGCAGCATCAGACGTGGAGTGCCTCCAATCTTTCAGCATGTACCTATTTCCCTCGTATCCCTGACCTACGTCTGCAGGCACTTGAACATCTTCAAAATGCGCAACCGCACTGAAATTCTAGGTGGCAACGGACGCTTCGCAATTTGGGTTAAAGCCAGCCATGTCCTTACCGCGAAGCTCTCATGAAGTCCCTGCTCAGCACTGCAACAAACTGGTTGGGCAGGTTTCAGAACAGGTGCGTTGCAACACGGGATAGGGGTCTCCATGCTCGCCGTTTAGGAACATCAATGTTTCTCAAGACTGTACAGCTCTGGAAGTGGTCGTGTTCTGAATCCTTCAAATTCTAAATGGCTACGTACGTACAAAACAGACAAGGTTGATTTCTAAACCGAAACTTTCAGGGCTTCAGCCTTGAAAAACAAATTCCATGCGCGAAACAATGCGCTCTGTAAATGTTTAGCATGCATGAGACAGAGCACCTTACCGGTAAAGGTTCTGGCTATGATGAAGTCAGGTTGCCAACCTTGACTTGAGTCTTATCATCCCCATTGCCCCATCGCAACAACTTGGCTTCCGCGCTCCCATCTCCCCTGCGGAATTGGGCTACTTGCTTTGAGGATTTCAAATCTTTGTTGCAGAGTCAAACGGGCTTGAGATCAGCGGGAATTGTCAGGCTCCAACCTCGGCTTTTAGTCTCTGGCCAACGCGCATCAATTCCAAACTACGTCACTTCAAGGAGCGATTGCAAGTTACTTACCTCACAGAAAAAGCATGTTGATATGTACCACACATCCTTTTCAGGCCCGACCAACCCCACACTGAATAATGCAGGCATTTCGCCCATGAGGC